GGTTCTCCCGCGTAGGTTCGAATCCTACTCGCAGCGTTTCTTTTTTTATTATACATTCGATTAATATATTTAATTATTATTTAGAAACTTAAAGATATTTTTTTACAACACAAAATATAATAGAATTGCCTGGAAGTAAATTTAATGAATACTAACAAGAATTTTAGAAAAACAATATAGTATGGAATGATTTTAAACTATTATTTTGTGTTTAAATAATCTTAATCGCTTTTATATGATTCATAGTATTTATGTATAATTTTATTGTTAATATCATTCATGTGAATCGAAGCAAGGCGTTCGTTTTATTTTTCTACAGTTTCATATTCTAAATACGATAAGTAAAAAAATAAATAAATAGAATTATGGATACATAATTTGATATTCAAAACTAGTAATAATAAAATTTGTTAATTTAAATTTCTTTGATCACAGTGAAAAATGATTGAAAGAAACGGTTTTTACAAATAATTCATATATATTTTTATCTAAGAAAAAAAAAACAAATAACAACAGCAATAAAATATGTTCCTCTTTTTTTTTATTATCTACATAGCACCTCAGTAGGTTTAGGCTGGCGGCTCATATGAACAATAAGATTCAACCGGTGATTGATCACTTTGAGTTCGTCGACGACTTGTTTCACTTAATTCAACAATTATATGTTGTGAACTATCATTTTCAATGGACATTTTTCGTTCACTATTTGACATAATAGGAGATAATTCATTTACCATACGTGATAAAGATGTTGATGTTGTTGGTGCAATCGTAGTTATCATTGGAGTTGCATGTGTAAAACGTGACGTATTTGATGATCGTACTAAATAATCACTTTTATAATTTGATGACGGACGTTTATTATTGTTTTGATCAAGTCTATGTCGAGTTCTTATACTTTCACTCGCTCCGAAAATATTTCGTTGAGAATAACGACAACAAAGTAAATCAATAAATGATGAACGAAAATTTTTTGACATAAATCCATATAGAATTGGATTTGTACACTAAATCAAAAAGAAAAAAAAATAATTAATTCTATTAAATTTAAATAATTAACATACAGAATTTAAATAAGCAAATACATTTGCTAATGTTGTTAAAATATCCATATAGGTTATAAAATGATGACTCGTATTTCTTGAAAGTATAACATTAGATATAAATGTTAATTGCATAAAAAACCAACATAAGGCATACGTTAATATGACAGCTAATATCATACGTGTAGCACGTCGTTTACTTTTACCAACTGATTGACCACGTGCTCCACGTAAAAATTTTAACATTAAACCATAAAGAATAACAATTATTGTTAATGGAAGTGCATATAAAAATACAACAAAACCAAGCCAATAAAAACTTGCTTCAATTGGTAATGGTGGACTTTGTGTTGTATTCGATAGAAGAAGAGATTCCGAAGAATCATTATTTTCCATTTGTAAATAACGTAAAAGACAATACATAGAAACGGATGAATCAGGTTCAATAACTGTAAATAATGAACCAATCGGTATACTTATACTAATACCAATTAACCAAAGAGCTCTAAGAAAACGAAAAACATAAAAAAAGATTTAGTCTCAAAGAAAAATCTTACACAATAGAAATAGTTGTATTTTTTGTTGTTCGATAACTTGAAATTGAATCTACAGCATGTACAACAGCAAAATAACGATCGATTGACATAAATACAAGTAAATAAATACTCATAAAAGCAGATAGATGAGTGATAAATTGTGCTATGATACAAATATATTTTTAGGAATGAAAATATAAATATTTTTCTATCTTATCTACCTAATTTACAACCAATTTCAGTAAATGGCCAACGACCAAAAAAACTAAATAATGTCGTTGGTATACAAACAATAATAAACAAAATATCAGCAAGTGCTAAGTTAAATATCAATAAATTCGTTGATGTTTGCATGCCTTTATTAAGGCCAATACCAATTAATACAAGAGAATTACCAATAAGACCAAGTACAAAAAATGTACTAAATAAACATATTTTAACAATACCAAATTTAAGATCATCTCCAGGATTACTACTATCACTAGTAGTTACAGTTGTCGTATTATGTATAATATCCATAAGAATTTATGTTATGTCTATATTCATAGGTATTTATAATCTAGAAGAATTACATTATACTTAGATAAACGATGAATGATAGAAAAAAAATCGTTAATCAAGAAAAGAAATTTTATGAAAAAAAAACGAGGGAGAAAAGAGAATATATCTCTTTTGCTCATCAAAGAGACATCATGTGCATCACCGCCCTGATCTCCGGTCCTGCTGAATAGAACGTCGATTCCAATTCCATTACTAAGCCGAGCGCCATGATTGCAATAGTCATATAATAAGGATGACAAGAGAATAATAGCGATGACAATGATGAAAGGCCAAAGTGTTCTAAGAAAAGAACTATAGAGAGAGAGACAGAGAGAAGAGAAAACATTCTTCGCTATTTTATCACGAAAAATTAGAAAAAAAGTTCAAATATTTATTTGAATTTAATTCATTATTTATTAATTAATCTATATATATAGATATTATATATACAAAAAAACAATAAATTTGAATAATTTTCAATCAAAATACTATGGGAATAATTAGAAATTTATAGCTTATATAAATGTAAATGCATCAATAATTCTCTACTACAATCTCTTACGTCATCATATTGCTTGTATAAATAGAATGTAATCAAAACTATATATTTATATATAAGCATCATATATTTCTTCTATATGAAAGTCAAGGAATAATTCTAATGGCAATTTAGAAATAAAAATTCTCTTTCTATTCATTTTCATATGAATAAATAATCTATAGTCATGAACTTATAGGTAAACGATCTACTCTAACATATAAATATACAGTATCAATAAGAAGAAAAACTAATGTTTCTTTATTTATTAATTATGTTTAGATCTATTACTTGTACGTATACATGTTATCTATGACAAAAGATAGTATCTCTATTTTTTACGTCTCATTTACCGAACAATACAAATAATAAACAGCTGCTTTTCTCATTCTGTTTTTTATGGTTGCTGATTTCCGTTTTGACTTCGTATACAAACAATGCTCTGAACCGATAATAATGATGCTTTACAATACTCAAAATTACCCTTTGGCTATATATAATGACTGGAGAAAGGAGGATATTAATATTATCTAGAAATAAATCATGAAAATATAAACATAGATAAGATATATATATTAGAAAAGGAAAATAGCTTTGATTTTATTATTAACAGTTCGATACGGAAACTTCTAAATTATAATATTTTAGTTATTTTGATCTGATGATAACATCACTTAATAGCAATATAACTTAAATCAACTATCAAGAGTAACATTCATATGCTCTTGTCGAACAGTATAATCAAATGTGCTTTTGTTTGTTTCTCTTAGCAAAAACTTATATATACAAAAGATATCCAGATGAAACAATGTCATTGTTAATCTTTTATGTTGTGTTGTATACGAACACGCACATACGCTTTTGTTTTGGATATAGAGGGAAAAAAAGGGAAAACGCTGCTCTATATGCTTACTGACATATACAGGAGAATAGAATGACTATATTTTCTCCAAAAAAAAAAGAAAAGATTCGATTATTAATACAGTAATAACAGCTCGTCAGTAGTAATAGGACATCATAATGTAAATGGAAATTCCGCTAATCTGGTCTATTTTCACAATCTATGTTTTACTTAATAAGTGTGTGGGATGTTTCATGATGGGGAAAAAAGAAAATACAATGGTTGAGTACTTGTTCCCCATCATTATCTATTATCGTTTGTCCTGTTTTTTTAATGTCGTCTATATTTGACATTATTTTTACATTCTCAATACTTTTCATATGTAAAACTAGCTCAACTATCTTGATAATTATTTATCAAGATTATTCTATTATTGATATATTGACTATGTAATATGTCAACATTCTTTTCTTTTTATATTAAAATAACCTTGAAAGAGAGATTCTTATAATACAAACAAAAAAATAAATCGTATAAGATATGTCATTGAAATCAAGATCTAATACTTAAATGTTAATAGTAATGTTTACAAAGCTCAATGATTTCATATCCAATCTACATTGATATTTTCGCACAAATTATTAATAGAGAGAGAGAGAAAAAAGAATATTATTATTATTTCTGAATTTTAATGTTAAAATTATATATGTTTAGAGTTTTCCTACTTACAGAATAATACAAAAGAATAAGTCTATCGATGTGAACTTCCGTCTGTGAGCATTTCTGTTTTCAACATTTAATTACAGAAATTTTTTTCTGTATTATGTCAGGGAGTAGATTCAAATAGATTCATTGGTTGTCATATTTTTTTTCTCTGTTTTTGAAATGCGTCGTAAGTATGAGAAAAAACATCGATATTCATTCAGCGTATGAATTATTAATATCATCTATTTATTTGTAATAATCATGCAAAGAAAAAGATTTAGATCATTTCTTTTATGCACGGATTACAATCTGAAAATATCGGCTTAGTATTCTTATTTTTTGAAAAAAAACAGCAACACTTTTGTATTAGGATCAAATTAATCCTTATTTCTTTTCATAAGCATATGAACATTTTGTAAGTATATTAATTTATAACGTCTACTCCTGCTGAACTTCATTAATTTCAAAATATAATTATTATTTTAAAAATAGATTTTTTTCTATGACAAACGGTAAGAAAAAAATTTAATATTAAATCAATATTTATGATTATGATTATCCGAGATAAAAATATATATCTTTAATATGACGATATTTTACTTCATGTATCCAAGGAAAAAAACATTCAACTTACTTGAGACGGTAGTTTCATACAATTTATCTGTAGATAAAAATGATGAATCTGGAAGTTCGGAAGTACTTTTATATTTCATTGAAAATCGAGTGTGACCCTATTAAATTTTCTAGGTATTATTCTATGAACTCAAAATTCTATTTCTTAATTGGACACAATAGTTAGAAAAGCAAATAGTCTATGTCTATATAATAATTTTCATTCAAAAAAGAAGAAAAAAAGTCACTTCAATTTTCTTTTCTCGTCTCTCTCCCTTTTTCAATCTTTAACTATGCAACACTCGGAAAAGGTTTCGTGATGTCAATATTCTCCACCTACTTTTTTTTATAGGTTGTTAAAGTTGTGAACAATTATTCATAGAATTAGATTTAATTTCGATAAAGGAAGGAAATAAATCGGAATGAACAAGTGTACGATTTCTCACAGTAATGAGATCATCAAGAGAACTGTTTCTTTTGTTAACATATGTTTTTATAACATCATTAGTAAATTTTAGTGTGCACTCAATAGCACCATGTTATGAAGAAGAAATCGAAACTATATGAATCAACCATGTTTATTCTAATGTTTAGAATCACTTAAAGACTTATTCACTGTTTGACAAGGCATAAATAATTTCTTGTATTAAATCAGGATGAAAGACATTATATGTTGACATAAATACCTTGAATATATAAAGAAGAAAAAAATAGGATTTTGTTTCGATTTTTGTTATTAAACATAAAACCAAAGTATGAAAACATATCGGATATTATTTACTGTTATTCTTCTCATTGGTTTATGTAGACCTAGTGAAGGACTTTTTAATAGTGTATCACTTCAAGATTATATTGATAGTTTTGTTGATGCTGCTAAATTTAAAATCGAAGAAAAATTAAGTCTTAATGATTCAACTATCAGTCACATATGGTCTTATTTTAAAACAAAATATAATCGTGTTTATTCATCAATCGGTTTGTAGAAAAAAAAATACTATCTATTGTTTTATTCTTATTTTATAGACGAAGAGAAAGAACGTTTTCGTGTTTTTCGTGATCATCTTCGTTATGTACTCGAATCAAAACTTGAAAAATTACGTACATATGAATTAGAATTAAATGAATTTGCTGATTGGACATTAGAAGAATTTGATTTATTTAAAAAAGGTTTAATTATTTCAACAAGTTTACGACGTAATATTATCGATAATCAACATCATTATCATTTGAGAAGAATAAAACGAAATTTAAATAAAAGACGATATAAAAATAAGCGTTTCTTTCGTGACTGGTTTTCAAATTTAATTCATGGGAATGATAAAAATAATAATCAATCAACAGATTTATTTGACTGGCGTACGAAAAGTATTGTGAGTAGTGTTAAAAATCAACTTAAATGTGGATGTTGTTATGCATTTGCAACAGCAACAATTTTGGAAACACTTTATGTATTAAAAACAAAATCTCAAAATATTATTGATTTTAGTGCACAACAAATAGCTGATTGTTCAAGTAATGGAAATAATGGATGTAGTGGTGGTAATTTTCCACCAAGTGTTCGTTATTTATTAGGACAAGGTGGTAAAATAGCTACCGAAGCATCCTATCCCTATGCTGGAAAAAAACAAACATGTCAAACAAATAATCTTAATCAAATTGATCTTGGTAATATTGAATATGGTGCAATTCCTGAAGGTGATGAAAAAAATTTAGCTGAAGCACTTATGAATTATGGTCCAATATTTATTGGACTTGATGCTGATTCAAAACGTTTTATGTTCTATAAATCCGGTGTACTTCAAATTAAAAATTGTCCAACACGTCGACAAGATATGGATCATGCTATGGTCGTTGTGGGTTATGGTTACGATAATATACTTAAAATTCCTTATTGGATTATAAAAAATTCTTGGGGAACGAAATGGGGTGAACATGGTTATTTACGTTTAGCTAAAGATTCTGGAAATATGTGTGGAATTGCTTCGATGGCATATTATGGTAAATTAACATAACAATTATTTTGTTTTTATCTCGTATAAATATTTTATTTTAAAATGAAATGATAACATAAGTTCTTTTTTATGATGATGGCGGTGGTCTGTTTTGATCTGAATCTACATGTAATAAAAAGAAAAGAAAAAGAATTAGATAAGATAATAATATATGTTTTCAACAGACCTGATGGTGAATTGTTATCTCTATTTTGTTGTGTTGCATTACCAATATTACGTCGAAGAGATTCGATCAATTCAGGATTATTTGCTGATAATGCACCAGCCATTCTTTGACCTCTGAATAGAAATATGAAAAAAATAGAATTTATAAAATATAAAAAAATTCTTACGTTTGTAATAAAGTTTCTAAACCAACTTGGCCACCTTCTTGTCCACTTAAATTTGTTACTAAATTAGCCATTCTATAGAAATTACATAAATAAATAAATATACATATATTTAGAAAATAAAAAGAATATTTTACAATCCTTGAACTTGTGGATTTTGAACAAATTGCGATGCCTAATAATAAAATTTAATTAATAATTTCGAAAAAAAAATTAAATATCAAACCATATTCATTAAAGCAGGATTACTTAAAAGTGACATCATATCAGGCCCACCAGCCCCGCCAGCTGCACCACCACCACCTAATAATGAGCCAAACATGGATGAAAGATTTGGTGGAACCTATATATAAATAAATGTATATATATATGAAATAAATATTTTGTTTTTGTAAAATCTTACACCACTTGGCATAGCATTACTTGCGGCTGCTGCTCCATTTAGTCGGTCTTCACAAAGTTTAATCGATTGTTTATAATTGTCATTAGCTGGTTCAAGTGTATGAGCTTTTCTATAAGCATCAAGAGCTTCATGTACTTTATCCAATGATAGATAGATTACACTTTAGATTAAAAATAAAATAAAATTTAATTAATATTTTTTGTTTTTCAATAAAATCTAATATACCCAAGTCTTCCATAAGCTTTGCTATAATTTGAATCGATTTCAATTGAACGAAAACAATCGTTTAATGCTTGTTCATTATTATTCAATTTGTTATGAGCAGCAGCACTAGATAAAAATAAGATTCAATATATATTATTTATGATACATGAAAATCCAGTAAACTTATGTCTTATATTACTTTCTATATAAACAATGACGTAATAGACATATGATAATTCTATTCTTTTCAAACTCTCAATAGAGGTATTAGTCTTGAATAACATTCTAAAGTTCACAATAGCTCGTCATAACATATATATATATATATATATTCAAATGTCAGTATATCTGCAAATGATGTATCTATGTTTTTCTTAGACAATGAGAAATTTGATATCTACATTCGTTGAAAAAATACTTCATTTATTATTTATTATCTATTTTCTATCAAGCAGTTTGACTAAATTATTCAAGTTTTATAACTAACCGATTACAATAATAAATAGCGTTATTAGGATCAATTTGTATTGCTGAATTATATGCTTCAAGAGCTTCTTTATATTTTTCTTGTTTAACAAATTCATTTCCTTGATTTTTAAATTTATCAGCCTGTTGTCTCATATCATCGGTTATTGGCACATTCATTGACTAGAGAAACAAATATTTTGTTTTTTTTTCTTAATTAAATATTTATATTACCGATTTATTTGACACAAGAGATAATAGATCTATTGTTGGACTACGAATTAAATCATTCTGTGGATTAGCAAGTGATACATCAAAAGCTGTTTCAAGACATTGGACGGCAACTAGACGAAAAATATTTATTTTTGAAAATTTTATTTTTTAATTTACCTTCAATACTCTCTCGACGTTCTGCATTTACCGATTCTGCTTGAATTTCTCGATCGAGAAATTTTAAAATCGAATAAATTAAACGCTGTTTAGCGAACTGCTCCTGAGCCATAGATAGTTAACTATAAGAATAATAAAACTAAAATAATCAAAATGATTCATCAACAATTTCCATTGGCTTTATTCATCGCCATTGTATACTATATTTTGCCTTTAAACAAATAGAATTTCTTCTTTTTCTTCTTCTTCTTATATTATTTTACTTGTGTGTGTGTGTATAGTATGAAGAAGAAACGACAACAACAAAAAAAGAAACGTCAATATTCAACTAAACGAACTAAACTCAATCGATCAGCTCGAATTCAAACAAAAAATTTCGAAATATTTGTAACAGATTTTCTTACTGATCCATGTGGATTACCAGTAGAATTAAAAGATTGTATTTTAGTCGATGGTACAATACCAATAAATGATAATTTAGGTATTATTTTATTTCCTATTTCAAAATAAAATGTTTTGTTTTTATTTATTTAGATAATTGTCCATTAAATAATAATCAAGTTTTGAAAAAACTTTATGCTAATTCATTAGATGATGAAGGTAAAATTTATTTTTTTGTTTTTATTGATTTTGTATTTTTTGAAATATTTTAGATTCGTGTAAAAAAATCGAATAATTGTATATATGTCGAATTTGTAATTTTTTCAGTATGTATAGATAAGAAAGAAATAATGTTGTTGTTTTTTTTAAAAAAGATTGAATGATTTATTTAATGTTGTCATTTGTATATGTTAAATAAAATATCTATCAAATTAAAACAATTTTATATAAAAATCAAGATTGAGAATAATATTTTTCTAGTTTAATAGTCAATTTTTGATCTCAGCTGTGTTGTTCCTCAATATTTATAATAGAAACTTGAGATGCCCTGTTTTCATATTTACTTTATTATAATTATATACTATATCGGATATCACTCAAGCAAAGCATTATATGATGAACAATTAATTGCTTAGCTCATATATCTGTATTTATGAAAATCTTTTTATAATTGATATGTCTCCTACTGAATGTTGGATTTTTGTCTTATGAATTATTTGATTTTAATAGACAACGGTACATTTTTTGTCATTATAGTTTGAGTATCTCAGAGTATAAAGTTTTTCTATGGCAACTACTGATGATAAGAGTCTTTGTGGTTTATATTGGTTTTGGTCTTTGTCAAGATTCGCCTGATTATTGTGAAAAACTAGATTATGTATGTGTTCATCAATAAACAGTGAGGAACAAAAACGTATCCATAGATTAAGCAGTATCACTATACATTATATCCTCTAATATAGTAATTTCTTCTCAATAAGATATTTGTCAAATCATGTTGGAATTTTATTTAATGAAACATACTTGATAATGAGTATTACTATTCGAGAAACAAGTACGTTCTATCTACTTGTTCCTTAATCAATTCAATTTAAACTAAATAAAGTAATGGTGATGAATGAGAGAATTTGAAGTACATAACGTTGTTTGATTCGATAGTTTCGTAACAAGAGATAGACTAGAAGCAACAAGGAACTTAAAGAATACTTAGATATGCATATGGGTCGCTAGAATAGTGTATTCTATCTACGCTCATATTTTTGCGCTACTTTTATTTCGGTATCTTGCGCAATTTGTTATGCTCTTTTGAATTTGTATGAAATTTTTGTCGGTCCATGAGTTTACAAATGTTTTTCATAGAAAACACAAAAAAAGCAATGAAAAACACGATAATTATATATAGAAAATTACACTCATATTTAAATGAAGATCAATTAGACAGGACTAAAATTTAGCATATAGAGATGTCTTTATATGCTCTTCTGTTTGCAATCATAAAAAAGATAGCTGAACATGCCTCTAGATGGATCGAACGATATTATTGAATTATTAAAAAGAAATCGATAATTATTTAAAATTTAAATTTTATTACAATTTTTTATGAAATCATTTCATTTGATATATTATATTGTTTTAATACATAAAACAGAAAGTGAATAATCTTTAATGGAGAACTATTTAGAATAGCGTACAGAATACATATGTATCGTTTTTTTGAAATAGCTAGTACGAACCTCGAAAGAAAAACTGGTCGCTCTCAATATATGGATATTATCTAAGCATTTGTTTTTATGACATGGTTTAATAGAAGATAATAGATAATGATAAGATTATTTCTAGTGTAGGGTCAAGCGAGTCGTATTAACGAGCGTTACTTGTACATATTAATAAATATAAAATTACAACTACGAATGATTCTTTTTGGAATTAAATCTATCATAATATAATAAAGTGAATAAGAGTATTTTGACAATTATTTTGAATGGTGTTATCATCAAAATCCTTATTTTAATCAATAAAAATACATAATATATAATATTGAATTCATCTAAAGTAAACCGTATATTTACTGCATAGTTAAATCATCATAAATTTTTAAAATTAATGGATATCAATAGTTCTCTTATAATTGATGTTTAGAAGTAGATTATTTTAAATAACACAAATTTTTTCAATTAATACATACTAATCTATAATATTTCATTTCACCATAGAGGTTTCATAATAACAATTATGATAATATCTGAAATGATATATTTAGTAATTGTCCTCTTTGTAGTAAATTTACAAATGATATAATAAAAATAATATTTTTTCGTAGCCGTAATTTTATATCTATGTATATGCCTATTTTTGCATATAAACAATCTAAACAGCTTCACTTTTCAAGCAATATTTCATACTATACTACTATATTATATCTAAATTAAATAAAAAATACAGGTGCGTTTAGTAAAATTATTCAAAAAAAATACTACAATTATATCGGAGCCTTCATAACTATCAATATTAAATGGTGAGTATTCATGTTGTTTTCCAAATTACGTACGTTTAGGTTACTCGTTTTATAGTTATGTCAATACATATTTAACATTTTATCATAATAACATGCATGACCTTTTCGTCACATGATGTGGTAATAGAAAGAGTTGACAATCAAGGTTGTTTTTTACCGTTTCGCTAGGCAATGTTACATAATTGATTGCACACTTTGGAAATAAAATATATAATAGACAGTTTATTATCTACATTGATTTATTTTCAACGATCGTAATGGCGTTAGTATGTACTTCTTGTGGTGCAGAGATTCAAGGAAAAGCACCAGTTTACAAATGTCAACAATGTTCGAATCATATTGTATGCCCAGCATGTTTCGAAAGAGAACATAATCAAGCATCTGGGATCTACCATACATTGACCAAAGTAGGAAATCAAACTAATTCTAAATATAAATTATATAACAAATGACATTTTTTTAGGTAGATCCATCTGCGCCATCGGTACCAATGGGTCCGCCGAAATTACCACTACCAGAAACAGTACAATTGCCACCATCGAGAGCAGTGACATTACCACCGTTAGGACAGGGGACAGCAATCCCATCAGATCAAGTGACACCACCACCAAAAGGACCACCGAAATTACCATTACCAGCATCGAAGCCAGGATCCTTACCACCAGCAGGTTTGGTGAAATCAGCACCCGCACAATTACTACCATCGAAGGTAGGGTCATTACCATCGACAGGATCGGTGAAATCAGCACCCGCGCAATTACTACTATCGAAGGCAAGATCATTACCACCTACAGGATTACCGAAATCAGCACCATCAGGATCCGTACAATTACCACCATTGAAGCCGAGGCCATCGCCATCAACAGGATCGCTGACACCACCATCGGGTTCGGTGACATTACCGCCATTAGGAGAGGGAACATTAACACCATTTAGACAAGCGACACCACCACCAACATTTGCAGCTAAATTACCAGCACCAGGATCGGCGCAACTACCACCATCAGGTTTGGTAAAATCAGCACCCGGACAATCACTACCATCGAAGCAATGGTCCTTACCACCATCAGGTTTGGTGAAATCAGCACCCGCTCAATTACTACTATCGAAGGCAGGGTCATTACCACCAACAGGATCGGTGAAATTTGCACCATCGGGATCCGTACAATTACCACCATTGAAGTCGAGGCCATCATCGTCAACAGGATCGCTGACACCACCATCGGGTTCGGTGACATTACCACCACTAGGACAGGGGACATTAACACCATTTGGAGAGGCGACGCCACTACCAACCTTTTCAGGTAAATTACCACCACCAGCATATTCGGCTAGATTATCAGCACCAGGATCGGCGCAACTACCTCCTTCTGGATCGGCGAAATCAGCACCATATGCATCGATGAAATTAGCACCATCAGGGCCGGTGCAATTACCAGCATCAAGATCAGTGACATTGCACTCAACAGGATTGATGACATTACCGTCAACAGGACCGATGCCATCACAACCACTAGGATCGGTGGCATTACCACCACTAAAATCGGCGAAATTACCACCACCAGGATTGCTGAAATTACCACAATGGAAATCGATGACATATGCACCAACATATTCGGCTAAATTACCACCATCGGGATCACTGAAATTACCAGCATCGAGATCGGTGACATTTTCACCAGCGAGTCCGGCGGTATTTCCACCATCGGGACCAGCAGCATTACCATCATCAAAGCCGATGTATTTGCCAGCACCAGGGTCAGTGATCCTACATTCAACAGGACCGATGGCATCACCGCCTACAGGATCGGCGATACAACCGTCAACAGGACCGATGGCATCACCACC